GCTTTTCCACCTCCTCCACAACCTTCTCTCTTCTCTCCCTCCTCCTCCACCAGCTCCCTTCTCCCCCTTCTTATCCTTTTCTCTCCTTAACTCCACGCCTGCCTACCTCGCACGCAGCTCCATTCTCCCCCTTCTCTTGTCCCCTTCCTCCTTCTGCGCGACCAAAGCTTCTCCAGCGTCCTTCTTTCTCCACCAGCTATCTCCCCCTGCCTCCACCACCTTCTCCCTTCCTCCGGCCTCGCTCCACTTCTCCGCACCACGTTCCTCCGCTTGTCCTCCTTCTGCCACGCACTCTTTTTCCCGTTCTCCCCGTTCCTCCTTCGGCCATCCAGGCTTCTTCCTCCTCCTTCTCCACCACCTCTCTCTTCTCGCCCTTCCTCCTTCTCACACGCAGCTTCTCCCTTCCCTCCCTTCATCCACTCAACATTGCTCTTGCCTTTGGCTTGTCCCCTCCTCTACGATCCACGCAGCCTCACGTTCCTGCCGCTCCTTATTCCCTCTGCCCTTCTCCCCCCTCTCTCCATACCAGCTGCCCTTCTCCCCCTCCTGCTCTCATACCATCTTCTCCACACAGCATTCTGCCCCGCCGCTCCTTCTCCCAACCAGCTTCTGCCTCCTCCTCCTTCTCTACACCGTCTGCCGCTTCTCGCCCTTCGCTCCTATTTCGCACCAGCTTTTCCCAGTCCTCCATCGCCACACGCTTCCTCTTCTTACTCTCGCCTCCGCCTCCACCTAGCTCGCACTTTTCCCCCTTCTTATGCCCGCTTCTCCTTCCTCGCCTCCTCCTCCTCCACCAGCCCCTTGCTCCCCGCTCGCTTCTGCTCCTTCTCCACGCAGCTTCTTCCCGTCATCCCACCACCTTTCTCCCTTACTGCTTCTTCCCGCGCCTGCGCTGCTTCTCCACGCAGCTTCTCGGCTCCCTCCTGACTATCTTCTTCCACCGACCGCGGCTTCTCACTTCTCTGGGGCCCATTCCTTCCTTTCTCCGGGACACGCAGCTTCTCGTGGCGCTAGAGAACGTCTATTCGTAGCGCTTATCACTCTTCACGGAGAGACTTGCTCTCTCATTACTTGTACTGCCACCTGCACCATGGCCGAGATGGCTGCTTGCGCGAGGCGTGCTGTAATGAGCTATCCACATTGACTCGTTTGACGCGTGTACACCTGCTTCTATCCACGAATTTGCCCTACTACTTTCAGCGTTCGTAACCCTCACGATATAGCGGATTCTCCCCTTGTCCTCGTCTCGTGCTCAATCCTAACGGAGAGCAGGCTTTGTTCAGTGCTGCACACTCTTAGCAGTGAAAGCACCGTTTGAGTGTACAAACTCTTTCTGCTACGAAAGAGCGTCTTGAGCTGTTGCTCACAACCGCCCTTTTACGTATTCATTGCTCCGAAAGCAGCCGACTTTTCTGCCGGCTTATCTCCCGTATACTACGAAACGTTTGACGTCGGCTATCCACTCCGTTACTGCAAACACGCACGCTTCAATGGACCTCGTCGCCTCCTCTGGCTTCTCGTGTAACACCAGCAGTATCTCGCTTTGGAGGTAATTGTTTTCACTATGCTCAAACACTCGCTCCGCGTTTCTCGGAGTGTAAACTTACAGACGAGCGTAGTTGCATGCTCTGTGGATACTTTATCCGCTACCACTTGGCCTGTCATCTGTCATGTAACACACCTATGACGCCGTCTTCTGGCGCTTCGCTCAATTCTCTTACCGTAACACGAAGTGCTTGAGGCCGGTACTTCACACCACTTGCGAGAGCCACCCACCGTTGGCTCGTGTATACTACGAAGAGCGTTCGAGTGTAAGCCTTAAACTGACCGGAGGCGCTTTGCCGTTAAGTAACGTCACGGTATCAGGCGTCCTTATCGAGTGGTAGATCTGACACGAGAGCCTGTCTCGTTTGCGCAAGTCGCGTAACTCACTAGATGCGCTTCTCCACCGTTGGTTAGCTTTCATACCTGGCCTTCTAATCTTCCCTTTCCTATTAGCTCTGAACCAGCACTCAGCGTCCAAACCCTTGTGATCAGTCAACTTCACCGAGAACCTGTCCTCATGCATTCGGAAGGTCTTATCAAGCTCTCCGCTAGAAGTAGACGGCTTGTGTATCTTCTTGGCGTCCTAGTCAACCCTACCACGGCATCTTCGAGCGTCTCTTTGAGTCGCGCAAATAACTTCTCATGTACGAGAGAAACGGTCCATGCTTACTACCGTGCGGGATAATCCTACCTGCCTAGCACTCGCTTCAGCGGTGCTGTGTAACTACGGGTTGCTCTGCCGTCGCCTGCAGACGTCGTTTTGCTCGCTGTACACACTCAGGGAGGCCGGAGAGCGCGCTGTTTGAGTGGTGAATCTACGCAAAGCGTTTTTTTTTATAACACATTGACCCTACGTTCAAACTTCTGACCACATGAGGAAGGATCGCTTGCGGTGATGTACACATAGACGATATGGATTTCGTGAGTCGTTTGCGAATCAGGTCGTAAACCTAGCGAATAGCGCGGAAGGTTACATTGCATGTAGTGATTAAAACACTCCCGGACAATACGCACGAAGTGGGAGCGTGTCACGAGTAGTTAACTAACTGCAGAAGTTACGGTCCTGATGAGTTTCGCTTGAGTTGTGAACTTAGCAAGTAGTATAGGGGCGTCGGCTTGGTTATTGTCTATTCACACACGGCATGCTCTTTTACTGGGTGAACCCGCGCAGCTCTAATTAGCGAGCGCCAGTGCCAGGATTTGGACTCTGAGCCGACCCGTAGTTCGTGTCAACGTGAACGCGGGACGCGTAAAACGTTGGAGTAGTAACTTACGAGAGCGGTTTTTGGCTCCGAGCTTCTTAGAGTGGATGTAGACCTCCGGAGCCATGATTTAATCGCTCCCACAGGAGAAATTCCGAAAGCACGGATCGTCGGTTGAGAGCCAGGCCCGAGCCAATATGTTAGTCATAGCCACTGCCACCAAGCTTTCGGCGAGCGGTGAGCAGGTAGAATCGGTTGGAAACTTATGGAGTAATAAAAAGTATATAACTTTTATACAGTTTTATATTGGAGAAATTCAAAAACCAGTTGATTTAAAAGTTGCCGAAAATCAGAGGTATAAATTCGAAAAATTTTGATGCAGGATGCACGTTTCAAGATAGATAATAAACTCGGATACGTAAGGTTAAACTCAACGGCTGCCATTTCAATCGCGACATACTGCCAGATGGTTAATCTTGTGATCGGGCTACAGTGATGATATTTAAGTTTGAGCAATAAAATTTTTTAATTGTTAATTTTAATTTTGACAGAAAGTATTCGGACTTGGCCATTGATACGTGTGAACGGCGGTTTGTGATCGCGACGTCAAACCGGCCCGAGCGCAATTTGGCGCGGCGAGCCAAATTCTAGGCCATTTGGCTGCGGAGGCGCAAAAATCATGAAACCGTGTGAAGCGCGATATTAGATGGTGGGCATATGTTTCCATTAGACAGACTGATCGCGTGACGTCAGTGTACGTCACGCGCGAACTCGGCTATCTCCGATGTTGAATGCATGTACGCATACAGCCTGCTGATGGTTGCGCATGCATCAGACTTTTCGTATATATTAAAGAATGATGCAAAAACCCTAACCCTAACCCTAACCCTAACCCTAACCCTAATTAAATTTCATTAACACTAATAAATTTAATTTATTTTAAAAAAAAGGAATGTAAAATTGTAAATAAATCATGTAATTATTTGCGTTAATTGGGTAAAAAATAGAGAATAGAAAAATAAAAAAATAAAAAAATGTAAACAGATGGGATTCGAACCAACGACCTACAGAAGTAACGGCCGCCGGCGTACGAGCGAGGCTACTCAGCGTCTTTAGAAAATTTATTATAAAAAAAATAGCCACTGACGTCACGCGATCAGCCGGCTTAATGGAAACATATATCCACCGAATAGGTGCAAGCGTTTCCACACGCTGTTTTTTTCAGAGTATGCCTTTTAATGGGACAAATAGGGCAATAGAGGGCGTGGGGAGTACCTTTGCCCCCCCTACAGGAAATGTCCTGCGTATTTGCCCCCCTACAGAAAATTTCCTGCGTACGGCCTTGGCAGAGTCTGATTGGTTGGAATTACATGCATGCTTGTAACTTTACATACACGCGTTTAATTATTTGTAAGACTTTGTCTGATTGGTTGGAATTACAAGCATGCATGTATCTTTACATACACGCATTTAATTAATTACGTGCATGCTTGTAACTTTACATACACGCATTTAATTAATTAAAGGCATGCTTGTAAAGACGAGCCTGATCTGCTGTCATAGGCATTACCCTAGTCATGGCCCCGTTGCGGATGGACTTTAATACATCTCCAGATAAATAATGAGTATATATATACATATATAACACGAAGAGAGAAGTGTAGATAGAGACAGAAATGCCCAGTAAAAAAAAAAAAATTGTCGGTAAGGATTGATCAAGGTCAGAATTACGTTTTATCGCACGTTTATCACAGTCCATTACCGTTTGGCCTTTAATATTTATTCATTTTATCGGTAGCCGGGATACAAAGATGTTATTTGTGTTTTCTGCACGTTCATATTTGAGTTAGATATCAAGAGTATATAAAATCCATGCAATCGGGGGGTTGAACACATAGGGGGTTTATTGCACCCCATCCACGTCCAGGAATGCGAGCACAAAGGCACGCCAACACTGGCACCGACCTGATAAACAGCACATGATCATATACCTGGTTCAATCACGGTTTGGTACATTTACGGTAAATACTGACCAATCAAGGCAGGGTTCGTCGAAACCTAACCTATGCTACAGCTTGCAAGATTTCAGATCATTGACTCTTTATGTAGCTACACTGTCATGGCTAGTGTGAAAGAAGGCATAATAGCATAATATGCTATATTATATACGTATCAGTTTTGAGCCAAGCTTCAGCGATCTTCTAAGTTGCTACATGGACCGTTTTCTGTTAAATTGTAAATGGTAGAATTAACATGCCTGAGAAACTCTCGAAGATGAATAAAGAGGCGAGCATTGCGCATCAAAAGATGAGACCGGAAGGAATATATCACGTGGATGAAATAGACGATAGATCTCGACGGAAGTTGCGATTAAAAATTATAAAGAACCTACTGATTGTAGGTTTTGCCTTCATGTTGCTGTTCACGGCATACCTCGCCGTACAGAATCTGCAGAGTAGCTTGAATGCAGAGGCGGGACTTGGTACGGCGTCGCTCAGTGTGATCTACATCGGATTAATTCTTTCATGCTTGTTCGTCCCTGTTCCACTCATGGATATGCTCGGCTGTAAGTGGACCATATGCCTCTCGATCTTGTGTTACTCTCCTTACATGGCGGCCAACTTCTATGCCAGCTGGTGGACCTTAATGCCAACTGCCTTCATACTTGGGGTGGGAGGAGCACCGCTCTGGGCAGCCAAATGCACCTATCTTTCTCAGATAGCATCCGATTACGCAGATCTAACGAAACAGAGCCGTGAAGCTGTCATTTCAATGTTTTTTGGCGTGTTCTTCATGTTCTTTCAATCCGGTCAGATCTGGGGAAATCTGATTTCGGCGAGCATCTTCAAAACTGACATCGTGGACAGAGACGTAGATGAAGAGGAAATAACTGATTGCGGAGTCCATTTTTGTCCTGACCATGTTTTAAACAACACTAACTTAGAAAGGCCACATGACAACCAAGTGTATTTGCTCTTCGGAATTTACACTGGGTGTTCATTAGCTGCTGCTGCCGTCGTTGCCATTTTCTTCGACCAGCTTGAACAGGATGTCACCAGGATGAGTAAAACCAGTGGCTTTAAACTAGATTTTAGTCTTTTGCCCGACACTTTCAAACACCTGAGACACTTAAATCAGCTGCTTCTGATTCCACTGACTATCTATAGCGGCATTGAAGAGGCGTTTGCAGCAGCCGAATTTACAAAGGTACGCTGCTTTTTAGTTAAAAGATAATCGATATTCTAAGGTAGGACATGATATAGTAAAGGGGATCATGTAGGCCCCCCCCCCCTACATGGGATTTTTACGATCATTTATTGTGGAAATTTACATTCATATTACGTATGACAGCATTGACTATGAAGGCCCTTTCTGTCATTTACCCACTAATTAATCAATCAATCACTCTACATGAAGGGCTAACCCCGATTTCCTTCCGATATTATTTTCATTATGTTTATGCTAAAAGAGTATCGATATTTCCTTGTACATTCGCGTTTTCTAGTGCCAATATAGGCTGAGAGGACATTAGATAGTTTCCCTCAATCGTCCCCAATGGCGACGTTCCTTTTGTGAACACGTTATTCATATTTGTCAACGCAGGCATATATCACGTGTTCATGGGGAATCCACATGGTGGGATACATCATGATTTCCTATGGAGTAGTTGATGCCTTGTGGTCGCTGTGTGGCGGACAGTTGACTAAATTCACCGGACGAATTCCCATGTTCGTACTGGGGACGGTAGTGCATGCAGCTGCCATCCTGACCATGTTCCTATGGCAACCACATCCAGACGAGAAAGCCGTATACTTCATCATTGTTATTGCATGGGCGATTGGAGATGGCGTCTGGCAAACCCAGATAAACTGTATGTTAAATTGCTGCTTAATGATTTCTTATCAGGCTCGGTTTTTTATCTTTTAGTATTTTAGTCCCTTGTTTGTTCGTCCCGATCATTTCTACCCTACTCCATCTAAAAAAAACTATTTCTTCCACGAACCTGCCATTAACACATCAAAATATCAAACCAACTTTTACGGCATGGTCGAGACAGTATTGGTTAATCATTTAGCATCATATTATATTAGTGTAAGAGGTTAAAAATATATGATAATTCGTATATCGATAGAGTTCAAACTTTTACTTGTAATTTTAATGACCGGCAGGGCAGGCATGTTTACTTGATTGTGATAATACCTGTGCTGTCGTGTGTCTCACTGATTCGTGGTATACGTATCTTACAGCACTCTACGGATCCTTGTTCGTGGAGCAAAAGGCAGCATTTTCTAACTACCGCCTGTGGGAAAGTCTAGGATTTGTTATTGCCTTTGCCTGTGAACAATACCTGTGCACAAGGCCCAAGTTGTGGATGACCCTAGGATGGTTAACAGCAGGAATGATCCTCTATGGCATTGTCGAGTTTAGAAATAGGTGCCAACTATTATCATTATATATTGTTTTGCTATTTATTATTCATATGCTTTCATGTCTCGAAAGTATGATGTCAATATCAGGTTTATTTTTAGTGAATAGCTCTACCACCGATAGGAATGATGAACTTTACTTTGGAAAATCTCACAATCATTATGAAATTCATCGACTCAAAACGCACGCAACGAGACTCCCCGCCCACAATGCTCCAAGAACTTACGCGATAGGCTAGTGAATCTGTGTTGTTATTTCAAACCGAGCACGACTATGTTATGCATGTTATGACTATGCAGGAATCGCACAGCAGGTGACTCTGCCAGCGCCCAGCCCGATGTGGAGAATGTACCACTAGCTTCTATTCATCAGAAGGAGATGGGAGACAAGAAGGCACAGAATGGTAGCGACAATCCCAAGTGCGAGGGAGACACGTTGACCGAAGCGACCAAAGACGAAGAAACGTAGAAGTGCGGCCACTTAATTCTTTGCTTTCCTACATCCGTCTAACGTTGAGAGAAATATTTGAGTATAACCTAAAAAATGAGCGAAATTTCGTTCATTGTTTCGCGCTTCGTGTACAAGACAGTGGTGTAAAATGAAACGCTTGGGTAATTCCAGGTGATGATCTAGTTTCCCCTTTTTCATTACAGTCATTGAATTATCACAGAATAAAGATTGCAAAAACACTGGCAGACTGTCTTAACTTCATAATTTTCGAGGTGATTCAAGCGAATGCTTAAAATGTCCATTTTACTCGACCTTCCCCTAATTGCGTCCTCATTATATAGAAATATCAAAGAGCATTTTTATTTTTTTATTTTGGCACAGAACTGATAAATATAGCTTAACAGGTGAGAACTCGGGTGCAGATGAAGAGCAGCACAAGGGCAGTTGTGCTGCTTAATCGAACTTGAAGTACTACTGAAGAGCCAAGAGAACTTGAGTTGAAAGACAAACATACGTAGAGTAATCGCCATCTATGAGGCTTCGCTAAGCGTGATAACCAATTGATGAATGTAATGATTAGAGAGAGGCCTAAACAGAGAGGAGGGGCGCCATTTCCCGACATGTGTATGGAACGGATGTACATAAATAAAAATTTAACGCAAACATTAATTTTATTGTGCGGTTTATTCTCTTTTAGTCTCTCTTTAGCCTTTTTCTTGCCCATCCATTCGCAAAAAATCCGCAAGTTACTTCCGATCCACATCATGTTGTGTATTATGAAGGTATAATTGATGCGTGGACTCTCAATTTATATATCCGTCTAAGCGATAAGATAAGATAAGATAAGAGAGTTTATTTTATCACTTCCAATATCAGCAGATACAAGGATTTTGTTAACAAAATATAAATAACGTGCAGTGAAAAGATGGCGAAAAGACCATACGGTCATCTAGTCAGCCAACCCTTAGAGAAATTTAATTAAGTATAAAGGCATCTGTCATAAGAATAAGATGTATGATGAGAAATATTTGAACAAAATGTTTGTATGATAACAATAAATCAAAAGCAAAATTGAACATAATTGGAAATAGAACAAGCAGCAGACATGAAGTTATGTACAAAATATGTTGGACACATATAAATGAAATATATGTAGTAATCAGTACAGTACAGTAATCGAATATTTACATGCTAATAAAAAATAACTTAAGCGGCATATATTACAATTTATGTCGATGTCATGATTAAATGTATGAAAAACTAATCAAAATAAATAACAAAACAAACAAAACGGTTTTTTTAAACTGAACATACACAGATGAGAAAAGAAATATAGCATATAAAAAATATACTTATCAAGAATATGTATAAGGCAGTCACATAAGAAAGGAAAATAATGAATTGTAAGCATATATAACACCTTTACATACGTTAGATTTGACAATTAATAATTACATGCAAGAGTAATCAGTATCAGAGTACAGTAAGTAGTATGTACAGTAATAGAACATTTACATGGTAATCAAGAATAACTTAATTGGCCTATATTACAATTCATGTCAATAATTGAATTTATTAAAAAAAATCAAACTAAAGAACAAAATAACACATACAAGCAAAATATCTAGAATAAACAATAGGAGAATCAAAATTGACTATGTGAAGTTAGTCATGAAGGAGTGTACTGTTGTATCATGTGTGCTTTGTACGCATAGCTGAACTTTTTAATGGTACGTAATTTAGTAATTGTATAGGAATTCCAAAGTTTTGCTCCTGCAGATTTGATGGATTTAAAACCAATAGTTGTAGATACTCTAGGGATAAAGAAAAATTGGTTAGTTGCTGCTCTAGTCTGATAATGATGTGTATCAGAAGTTCTCTTAAAGCAGTTGCAAAACAATTCAGGGAGAGTCCCTGTATTGTATTTATACATAAATTTACCTAACTCTAGATTATAGAGGTCGAATAGTTTGACTAAATGCAATTCGTGGAAATAAGGGGTTGCATGTGTAATATTATGGATCAACACAAGTTGTTAGTTGAAATAATATTTATTATTCTGAGGAGCCATCCTCAAACACAGCTCACGCTTCCAAGCACACGTAGCAGCGAGAGGAGAGTACGTGTATGTGTTACGGTGGGATGCTGAAAGGGACAAAACGGGAAATTCGTAAACGAAATGGAACCCAAAATAAAGATGCTCGTTCCTCACTCTTTAATTCGGCAGACAAACGGCCCCTTGTCGACTGCCCGTGCGCGAGCATTTTCCCCGCCATGAACCGTCCGGTGCTGCCCCCTCGTGTCCCAACGAAGAACTGAACCACACTGTACAAATTTTTAGGGCCCCCATCCATTTCGCTACACTCTCCCCCGTTGCAAAATGTCGTCCGCGACATGTCCACCCCCCCCAAGTCGATAAGCTGAAACACATGGGTTAACATCCAATTTACTCGCGACAGGTGCTACATCAGAGACATGGTGTACTCACCCACAGTTTTGAGAATCCTGTACCCCTCTCCACTGGACGGCCGAGATAGTCAAAGGAGCGGCCAACTCCCCCGACAGGAATCTACACAACACCGACATGTGTCTCGATAACAAGTCTTACGACTCAAGAGTGTATAGAAACAACTTACCCACTTGCATACGTCATCATTGGTACCCACCTGAGAGTATTCATACCTCGTGCCTGAGATGCCCGACTAAACTACAATTATGATAGGCCTACTAACTGCTAAACTCGACCACCTAGACTACATAGAACATAGTTCCCGACGGATGACAAATACCTCACCCATTCGCCTACTACACCATCTCTCCAGCTATACCAGCGTAGCGTAGCGCCCCAAAGCGGAGTGATCCATTCAAACAAGATCACCGACCAATGGAAACGCTTGGGGCTGCGGCTGGTACGACGGATTCCCCAACAGATCATACGTGAACATCTGCCGAGGTTGCCGTTGACGCTGTGACCTCCCCTCCGCCTCGTCTTGGCTTGACCCATCCCCTGACGTGGCCGTACCACTGGACCCCTGTCCTGCAGGGCTGAGCTGGTCGCTGGATGATCCAGAAGATGGCTGGAACGGTTCGGCTTCGGGATTCAGATTGGACCGCCTATCCTCGCTTGACCCCTCCGCCATGGCTCCGGCCTGTCCATCATTATGCTCACTCAAATTCTCGCTCATGGTCCTCACCCTCTTATCATTCAAACTATCAACACCGGTTTCGGCCGCGTCATGGTGTTCAGAACTCGGGTTCTGTAAGACGAACTCCCCTGACGAATCACTGTCTGTGTCACTTGGCCCCGATGGAATGTCCTGCTGTCGTCGTTGCTCGTCCCGCACTCGTCGTGGCTTCCTTTTCTGTAACCGAGGAAGTTGCATGCCCTCGAACGGTAGCTCGTCACATTGGAGGAGCAGGTTCCGGTGTAAAACTCTCACCCGCCCAGTTTCCTTCTCTGGCTTGACTTGGTATACTGGCGAGTCTGGTAACATCCGTCGGGTGACGACCTGTATGTCTTCCTCCCAATACGACCGTAACTTGCCCGGCCCCCTCTCTCATTGAGGTTGCGAACGAGAACTCTATCCCCTTCTTGAAGAATGGAACTGCGAAGACAACGATCATGATTCTTCTTGCCCTTCTCCTGGGAGCGCCGAATCTTCTCCCTGGCCAGGTCGTAGGACTCCTTCATCCTGTTCATCCACTTCTCGACAGTGATGTTGCCCTCTCCACTTTCACACCCAAAAATAAGGTCGATCGGCAATCGGGGGGAACGACCAAACAGAAGCTTGAACGGAAAGTAACCAGTGGATTCATGCTTCGTGCAGTTGTAGGCATGCACGACGTGATTAACATGACTCTTTCAGTCAGTCTTGTGGGTCTTCTCCAGGGTCCGCAGCATTGCCAAAATCGTCCGATTCATTCCCTCACATTGCCCATTTCCCGCTGGGTGGTATGGAGTTGCTCTCGAGCGACCGATGCCACATTTCTTAAGCTGATGGAACTCCCGACCCTGGTCATGGTGGATCTTTCCCGGGAATCCGAATCGGGGAATATAGTCATTAAAGATCTTGTCAGCGGTGGTCTTCCCAGCTTTGTTCTTTGTCGCGTAGGCCTGCACAAACCGGTTAAAGTGGTCTACGATGACAAGCAGGTATTCATGACCACCTTTCGACCGCTCCAGGTGTACAAAGTCAATGGAAACCAGCTCAAACGGTTGCCACGTCTCGATTGCCTTCAACTCGGCTTGGCGCACAACGTTAGGTTTCTTGGCCTTGAGACAGCGGCATCTCTTCCGGATGTAGTGAGTAATATCAGATGACATTCCGGGCCAGTAGAACCGATCCTTGGCCAACGCAATCACCCTGTCGGGACCCAGGTGCCCCATCTTCTCGTGTAGCTCCTCATAGACTTTCTGATGGTATTCTCCAGGGAGACAAATTTGTGAAACATCGGTAGCGTCCTTTGAGTGGCACCTCCGCCTCAAGATCCCATCTGGATCAACGCTGAGCCTGTCCCAGTCCCGGACCCACCGATTCAGATTACGACTTTGTTCAGCAGGGTAGTCCTGAAGCTGCTTCCGGGACGGCTTCTCCTTCAACTTCACCCAGTCCTTCACCTTCCCGATTTTCGAATCGTTATCCTGGGTCTTAGACAGGGTCTGCGGGTTGACCACATTTACCTCAGCTACGTCCAGTGTTTCCTCGATTTCGCTGGCTTCTTTGGTGGCATTTGTGGACAGCATTTGGGTCCAGCCATCCTTCCCAGTTAGTACTTTACTCACCGCGCCCATCTGCTCCGGTCCCAATACCTCCGTGCAATACTTCATGTACTCCTCAAATCATAGTGGCTGCCTTGATAGAACGTCTGCAGCCACATTAGACTTACCTGGATTGTAATGAAGGGAAAATCTAAAATCGGCCAATTCAGCCACCCACCGGTGACGTGTGGCATCGAGTTTCGAGGAGGTTAGTATGTAGGTCAGCGGATTATTATCCGTAAATACTTCGAAGCTGGGC